CTGCTAACTAAAGAGCACACATCCCTGATGAGTCAAGGTGCTTATTGCTGTATAAAGACATATGTGGATGCTGATTTCTGTGCAATACTTTGATGCTGCCCCAGTTTGCTCTTGATGGTCTATCAAAGGTAGATGTGGAATGAGGAACATCTTATATTTCTGGTAATATATGAAGTAATCAGCTCCAAACGTCCAAAGGGATACATGCTTCAGCCTCTCCTCTAGTATTTTCTTGTCCCCTGCTCTCTGCTCGTGTTCTGACAATTCACATTGCTTCCCTCCAGCTCACTGCTTGGCCAAACATCAGCAGGCTGCCTCCTCAGCAGCTGCCACAGCAGCTAGATTCAGCCAGCCATGATCAGCACATAGGTATCACCCAGTTACCTAGCAAATTTCATGTCCCTGTCCAACCAGCAGCATGTCACAGGCTGCAGCAGGAGCTGGAGTGAGGGTGGGATGCAACAGGGCACCTATGCCACAACCCTTTTAACCCCTGCAGCTCTGTGTCACAGCTGCCTGACAGCAGCAAGTTATTGCCTGGTCCTCATCCCCAAGGGCAGATGCCATTGCCCTGGACAGCAGCACACACCACTCTCAGCAGTGGATCAGGCAGATCCCTTCTCCATAAACATCCCATCTTTGAAGAAAAAAACATCACAGGGCTCTGAAGGTTGTCAGGGCAAAACCCTAAATGATTTTTTAACACATGAACTGTGATTAACTGTTATCTTTTACCATCACCCAAAACAGATGGATCTTGGCGAGATTGTTGTGACTGAACATCCCAGTGAGAGGCAGTTGTATGAGAAGCAGATGCCAAGAGCCCAGGACCTGCTGTGGAGAAGTGGAAATTGGATCCACCAAGTTTTTGGGTATCTCACAGGAGAAATGAAAGAATATGGAGAGTGGATAAAAAGTAAGCATATTGGTGTGTTTGGGGCTCTCTGGTTGAGGTCATCTATATTGCCAACAGGGCTGGAGCACAACAGTCTGTTTAACCCCCTGAGGCAGAGCAAAAGCAGCGTGGTCCAAATTCATTGCAAGCATCTGGCCTTTTAACCCAAATTATTTTTGGGAAGGAAATCTCACTCTTGCCATCACCATCGCTGCTTGAAAAATTCAGCACAGGCCAAAGACATCTTTTACACTTAATCAGTTACATGTCATTAGCATCACATTCCTTATAGCAGTGCCCAGATTCACACGTCAGGACTGGGGATTGAATCTCGTTTGTAAATGCTTTGGGTCAGCCACTGCCTCTCAACAGCATGTGGGCTGTCAATGGTGACTTGCCCCTTGATCATGTGGGCAAAGGCTCTTGTGTTACTGGCCTTGAGGGAGCAATAAGCACTGTGGGTGTCACAGTGCTATAAAATACAAACTGGGACTCATCTCAAAGGTTGTCTGTACTGTCCAGACAGGAACAATGCTTAAGCAGATCATCTGTGTTACCCAGAATGTGGGTTTTGAGAGTCTGTGTAAGACTGCAGGTTCTCTGTCCAGGCTAGGTTAGGTAGCAGTACAACCCCAGCAATGGGAGAGAAATAAGAGACAGCTGTGTACAGCCAGGCTGTGCAGTGGGCTATCATTGGTGGAGGAGTTGGGATGAAATGCCTCCAGACAGGCTCATCAGGCTGCAGTGTGAACCCCAGATGCAGAGGAATATCTCCTCCTGCTTTCTCTTTACTCCAGTGGTCCATGCTATGAAAACAGCTTTTCTTATTCAGTGTTCTGAGAAGCTTTGGCCACTGTTCTCTAGTTATAATTGATTTTTTACAATTAATACTTGTGTCTGAAAGTAAGCTCATTGCTGATACTTGTTTCATTGCTCAACACGAAATATTGCTTAAAATTATTTCAAACAAGCCGTGTCATTTTTCTCTAAGGAACTCATTCCTCCTCCTCCTTATTTTTGCTCCTTAATGGTGGCTGGGAGGAGTTTTAGGAATAAATCATTGCCCATTTCAAAAGGTAGTCTAGCACTTTATGCTGGATCTAATTAACAATCTAAGTTAACAGAATTAATTTCAAATCTTTAGCAAGATGAAAGCTGCTTATACACATTGCATGAACATCTTGTACATGCAAGCAGATCCTCTTTCTCATCTATTCTCCTTGCACCATGTTTAAAAACACAGAGCAGTACAGAAATTGTTACATTTTTCCCAGAGGAGAGGTAGAAAAAATATTCAAATTAATTTGCAATAGAAGGATGAGCAGCAAAAAGTTACTGCAGCACTGCAAGTCCCTCCTTTGTCCACAGAGATCATCAGAAGTACTGTACATAGACACTCCCAGATCCTACCTTCTATCTGCACTCACCTGAGGTACCTGAGGTTGGTGCCTGTTTGCTCATTCCAAGTTCAATGGCCTTCTCTAAGGAGAAATAAAAGAGCAATAACTCTTTGTCCTTTGGAAATGCCCCTTTGCCCTGGGTACAGTCCAAGTAATGATAACTATCTTCTTAGCTTAGGTTCTTCAGTTCTCAAAAGACCTTTTACCCCATCTCCTAAAAGTACAGCATACCTCCATGTTCTGGGTTGCTGATTTTCTACCTAAGATGGCAAAAATGTTTCCTTTTCATATTTCCCATACACACTAGATTCAGAGTCCCTCTCTGCATCTGAATTATACACAAAAAAGGGTCTGTCTCATTAAATCTGTATCAGTCTTAAGTGATCTAACATGGAAGTCATTCTTTGACTTTTCTTTGACCACCATAAATAAATCTCTTTTCTATCTATCCCTCCCTGAACTTCATAACAGTGCTCAGTCCATGCTTATCAGTTTTCAAGTGCTGGATGCAAAATATGCTGAGACAGCAATAAATCATAGACCAGTTTTACACTCCTGTTGATACATTGCCTCTGTTCTGTGGCCACCCAGTGGCTGGAGAGATGAGTGTGATTAGCTAAAATGATGCCTTATCAACAGTATTTTCCTTTAATCTTCTCCAGATAAGCCCTTAATTGTTCAGCTGGTGGACTGGATCTTGAGAGGGACCTCTCAGGTGATGTTTGTCAACAACCCTTTCAGTGGGCTGATCATTTTAGTGGGACTCTTCATCCAGAGTCCATGGTGGATGTTAACAGGCTGTACTGGAACAACTGTGTCCACATTAACTGCTCTGGCTCTCAGTCAGGACAGGTAGGTGGTACCTCATATCCTTGTGCACTTAATAAAGATCAATCATTGTGATATCTGGAAGCCATGGATGGGTAATAGCTCCTTGTTAGAGCCAGCAGACCAGTCTTCCTTACAGGTGGATTAGATGCAGTTAGGTGTGAGGACAGAGCAGTGGTACAGGAAAAGCTGGCCTGTCCCCACAACTTGCTGTCTTCACAGAAACAATTACCTCCCTCTGATAGCCATTGTTGCAGCTATGCAGGTCCTCCAGGTCACAAGGAGACCCTTAGAAAATCATCATCCAACAGTCCCCAAACTCTCCCCTTCCACACACTGGTGCAAGGTAGTATATCAGCAATCTCACTGCTTTTTCATCCCTCCCCTACATACCCTTCACCAGGAACAGGACACTAATAAATTACATTTCAGTGGGTCCCTGTGACAGGCCACCTTCAGCACACCTGGCTACCTTGCAAACATTTCTCTCCATGACAGATCAGCCATCGCAGCTGGGCTGCACGGCTACAATGGGATCCTAGTGGGACTGCTCATGGCTGTATACTCTGACAAAGGGGATTACTACTGGTGGCTTCTCCCTCCTGTGGCAGTTATATCAATGGCCTGGTAAGTGCCACTTCTCCTCCTAAGGACAATTTTCAAAGAATGAGTCTGGCGCTATACAACTTAAACACACTGAAGTCCACTCTGCCTGCTCCCCAGTAACTCCAGACGTGATGGCATTAGAAATAGGTGTTCAACAATGCACAGAGCTCATAGGGACCTAGTGGGAGCTGAAGACACAGACAAAACTGATTATTACACACAGACAAAGCAGACCCACTCCACTGCTCTGAAAATGGCCCTCATCAGCCAGACATATTGACAGGGGACATCATCATGTCCAGCACTGCAATGGTTCTTCCATCAACCCTGTTCTCTCCCTTGGGCCAAATTCAGTATTTCCCTTCTCAGATAGGCAACCAGTCATGAGCAAAATTAATTCCTTCAAGTAACTCTGAATGCCACACTATGTCCTTCCAGGATTAAATTTGCCAATTTCAAATAGGGACCCTAAGAGAAGTGCAGAATCTATTTAATAGCCTTAACTGAAATTAATTTAGTAGTCACATTTTAATGACTGTAAGCAATAAGATGCAAGTCATTATTGAATTTCACTGCTTTTAAGATCAGATTTAATTTTTTTTTCTATTTAATTTCTGTAGTCACTCTCAGCAAAGGTCATTTTATAACAGTCTCTCAAAACCCGGGACATGTTGCATGAATGCTTAGCTTGTGTTATCTGCCAGAATTCCTTGAGGCTTTTTGTTCAAACAGTTCTTCATTCTTTTAATTCACAAGACTTGAAAGTAGAGCTAAAAGATTTTAAAATTAGACATTTCAGTGATTTTTTTAACTGATTCTTTGAATTTCAGCTTTAGAAGTCAGAATTTGTTTAATTGTTTCCTTTTTTCTGACAAGATGTATAACTGGCAGAAACATCGTTTTCAGCACAGAGATTAGGACAGAGTTTTCACTGAAGTCCTGGTTTTCCTACAGTTACAAGCAAGGAAATCTATAAACTCCTTTGGGAACCAAATTTGTTTAAAAAAAAAAAAAAAAAAAAAAGCCAACAAAAACCAGCAGGCTTCATCTGAGTTTATACAGGAAGAACAAAGCATTTTTTCCCACTGATTGTATCTACGCAACAGGACACAAGATGTTGTTTTTGAAATGTCAAATAGTTTGGGTGGGGTGGGTTTTTTTAATTAGAACCAACAAAACGATCTTCTAGGAGTCAAATGCAGCTTCTTGAAATATTCAAGTCTTTAAATTGATTTTTGGCAAACTGTACAATGTCCACCACTTCTTGGAGTTATCATAGGAACTATTCCACTCACTTGTATCAAACAGCTCAGAACACCAGCCGTTTCCATCAAGAGTAGGACGTGGTCATTTGCTCTCTTCCACAAGCTTTCTGTGTCCCATAAACATACCATTACATACAAACATAAACTGTGTCAGATATTACCTTGACAATATGAGCAGATATTACCTTGACAATATGCTCCCACAAAGTCCTTCATGTAGGACACACACTTCAAGTGTAAGTCACACAGCCTGGAAATGCCCTGAGGAAAGCAGATCAGGCAAAGTTTATATTCCAGCTTCTACAGAGAATAACTTTGGGAAAGGTCATGGTATTTCAAGGCTTATGTGTTTCTTAGTGTTCTGTCCCTAAAAATTTGAGGGTCGGCCCAAATACTTTACGTGGTAAATATAGTTATTCAAGCTTTTTAAAAGCAAATCTCAGTTTTCAGAAAATGCCATGTTATTTTGAATGGTATGTGGACAGCACACAGTCACATCAGTCTCACTGACATACACAGGAACATCAGCCAAGGTCTGGGTGATGTCTGGCACCAATACCTGTCACAACTCTGTTACGGTGGTGGCTTCATCTTATGCTGTGTTGGGCTCCATATGTCATAAGGACTCCTCATTGCCCCAAAATATTTTCTAGCATGGTAAACATTTGTACCTTTCTTAATGGAAGATTTTTCCATCCTCTTTGGTCACCTCTTCTGCTTTATTTTTTTTCCACAGTCATCTTCTGATGGCCTTCAAACTGTTTAAACAAAAAACCTGCCAACAGCAACAGAAAAAAATTGGTAATTTCCATCACCCTCTTGCCTCCTCCAGATGGCAGCTTTTTTAAGACCATCTAAAGTTCTAATCCCACAGTTCTTCATGTGGGATTCCCAAAATTTGGTCCTCAGTTTCTTCGTAAAATTTTCTACTGAATAAGAAGTCAGATTACCTGTCTCCATTCATGCCTAAATGCTGCATTGGATGCATTTCTTCCTTGAGTCCCTGAGCTCAGCATAGCTAGCAGAGTGCTTGCACACCAAGCACCAAGCTCCTGTGGAGCTTCCACCATCTATGAATGGATGTGATAGTTTTTTTCAGAAAGATGAACAGCATTCTGCAACTCATTGATGCAGATTAATGTGTTAAGGTATTCACTATCTGGTGTTTCTAAAAGGAATGGCATTGGCTTGCATTTGCCCAAATTACTATTTATGACTGAAGAGGTAGTCTGTTTCACTTCTCTAATTGTTACAAAGAAATTATATTCATGTCTGTTCTCCTGTTCTCAGCCCAGTCCTGTCCAGTGCTTTGGGATCCATCTTCAGTAAATGGGACCTTCCTGTTTTCACTCTGCCCTTCAATATTGCAGTGACTCTGTACTTGGCAGCCACAGGGCACTACAACCTCTTCTTCCCCACAACACTCATCAAGCCTGTAGCTGCAGTGCCCAATATCACCTGGTCTGCAATCAATGTGCCATTGGTAAGCTTCACACTAACAGGTTTATGATACTTCCTTTAAAGGTGAGCATGAAGACATTAATCTCTGGACAACACTTTCACATGGACCAGAATGGCTGTATGATATATACCTAGGAGAAATTCACATAAATGCATGACTCAGTTCAGTGCAAAGACAGAAGAGCCATAAAATACCCAGAAATATTTGTGGTTCATACAGAAGAAAGGCTGATGAGGGAACAGAGATCCTCAGCCTTTCAATCTACCTCAACTTGGACCCAAAACTTTTGAGCTAAAACTGGCAGGCCAGACAGCTGTGTCTTGAGCTGCAGTCCCAGCAGTGTGGGCAGCAGGTGAGGGTAGGATTCTGCCCCTCTGCTCTGCCCAGGTGAAACCCCATCTGCAATGCTGTGCCCAGCTCTGGGGTATCCAGCACAGGAAGAACATGGACCCGTTGGAGTGAGTCCAGAGGAGGCCACCAAGGTGATTAGAGGTATGGAGCACCTCTCATACAAGGAAAGGCTGAGAGAATTGAGACTATTCAGCCTGGAAAATAAAAGGCGGCTTCAGGATGACCTAATTGTGGCCTTCCAGTACCTGAAACGAGCCTACAAGAAAGATGGAGAGAGACTATTTAAAAGGGACTGGAGTGACAGGAGAAAGGGGATTGGCTTCAAGCTGAAAGAGAGTACATTTGGATTTGATAGGTATTAGGAAAATAATTATTGACTGTGAGGGTTGTGAGGCACTGACACAGGTTGCCCAGAGAAGTTCTGGCTTCTCCATCCCTGGAAGTGTTCAAGACCAGGCTGGAGGGAGCTCCAAGCAACCTGGTCTAGTGGAATGTGTCCCTGCCCATGGCAGGGGGGTTAAAACTAGATGAACTTTAATGACCCTTACAACCCAAACCATTCTATGACTCTAAGATTTACTCCCAATCCAACAAGCAATGTTCCTCCCTTTCCACTTCAGCCAATAGCTTGGACAAAATAACTGCTGTGTACTTCAGGATACAGAGAGAAAATAATATGCCTTTTTCTACACTTTGCTGCAGCTCTTACAATCCATTCCAGCTGGCATTGGTCAAGTGTATGGTTGTGGAAACCCCTGGACTGGAGGCATTTTCCTTGTGGCTTTACTTATGTCCTCCCCATTGATCTGTTTACATGCTGCAATTGGATCAACAGTGGGGATGTTTGCAGGTAAGAAGTACTTACCAAAAGCACTTTTGCAACCAAGGTATCTTGACCCAAGCCATTAAACAGCTCTGAGTAGACTTTACAGTTCCCTGGGCATGGAGGTATTTGAGACAACACTGTCATTTTTCAAACTGTCTCTAAATTTGTAAGCTTTTACTAAAGGTCACACAACACAGTGAAGGTAAGAACAGAAGTGGATTTTCTTTAAACTTCGAATTTGTTATTAGATTTGGAACTCAGGCAGGTGGTTTGCTCTACCTTGTTTAACCCTCCAGCCACTGGGTGTGATAAATCTCATGACAATGATCATAAAGAAACCTAGAGAAAGAGTTTGAGAACTAATCTCTTGCACACAATTGTTTTACATTACCACTACAAGCAGATGTCTGCCTCAGAGGTGATCAGCCAAGGAGAAGAAACAGACTTTTCTAAGTTGCAATTTGCTCTATCCTGTCGTGGATTTGTAAAAATAGTTAAATGGCCACTAAAAATGGCCTGTCTTTCCCCTAGCCAGAGACGCAATATGAAGTTAGAGACATGAACCTGACCCTTGAAGTTAAAAACATTAATGCCACTTGAGTGACTGATCGTAATAAAAGAGGTAATGGAATAAGTTTAGTCTGAGACAACAACCATGAAAAAGGCAGAGTCATCTAACAAGAAGTTCTCTGTGCTTTGAAGCACTTTGTACAAGACACGAGCTGCCCTATATTCGTGTTTTTAAACAAATCTATCTACAATTTGTGTGGCTAAGAGCATATGACAGGTCCTCTACAAGTCTGACATTTAAGCTAGTAGGGATAGGTCAGGGGCAAGTATCTGGGGATAAGGGTGGCAATAAAATAGAAGACAGGACAATGTAGCAGGAAATGCATTAAACCCTCAAGACACAGGAAGGTGGTCTGTGCACCACATACTGTGCCCTCATTTTCACTGGTACTCTTGAAGCCTATGAGAAAACCTGCATAAGTTTCTGTGAGGTCAGATTTGGAGCAGACCCTCAGCTCCTATCCCCATGGAGAATTTCCACAGCACTGATGAAGCAACTACCTCTAATAACTAGACCACATCCTGCAAAGGTAACTAGGAAGAGATGGAAAACTCTGCTCACTCCCACAAAAGACACTCAGTTGTGCCTCTGATATTCAATATCAGGGTATGTATGAGATTTAAAGAGGATGTGTGAGCACAGATTTCTGCAAGGAGGACACCCAGGTGAGAAAGTTCTCATACAATCTAGCTGGATCCTTCATCTGGTCCTCTGGGGGACCAACTACAACACATTCAGTGCATACATGGAGAGTTTTGCCTGAATGTAACCTCTGAGACTGGGGTAAATTCCAACCCTAGGGACATTATCAGAGCTCCAAAATACTGAGTTTCCTTTGGTATCCTCCTTTCTTTCTGCATGTCCATGTTATGGAAGTGTGAGCACAGATAAATTCGACTAGATGTCATAAGGAAGATACGATGGATTCCCAGCAAGTGACAGGTCCTCCTACAGATACTTCTCATACCTGACCTTACAGCCTTTCCTTTTGTCTTGCAGCACTGAGCATTGCATCCCCATTTGACAGCATCTACCTTGGCTTACATAATTACAACTGTGCCCTTGCATGCATCGCGATCGGAGGCATGTTCTATGCCCTGACTTGGCAGACCCATTTGCTTTCGCTTGCTTGTGGTAAGCACCTTTACACATAAAGGGAAGAAAAATATTTATGTAGACAGGAAGCCTATGAGTAGTACAGGTTTAGAGTCAACTACCACTGTGTACCAAAAGTATATCCTATTTATGTGATAGCATCAGCCTTGAGCTCGGATTTGCAAGTACAGAGAGAACAGCATTAGACTCTGATAACATGGAAATGTCTAGAAAGGATGGAAGTCCTGTTTGTGAAAGGAGCACAAGCTATTCCATGAACAGGTTTAACAAATTAGCAACTCAACAGATTCATGGAAGAAACCTTTCCATAACTAAATGTATCGTTAGAGGAAGCGTGTGACAAGAAGTGACACAAGAGCTGCTGCACAAGCTCAGTTTAAAATCCATCTACGCAAAGATCCCATGTCCAACAGCAGCCAAAACCAGGCACTGTGGGAAGAGTTTAAGAAAATAAATTTCCCATTTAAGAAATTCCTATGAAGTTTCATCCAGCTTTCAACTATCTTCATTTCAGTTTCTGGATTACTCAGTGGCTTTTTCTTCCTTGACTTAGTTCTTGAGTGCCTAATCTTAGCTCCTGTTCTGCCATTTCTCACATCTGAAGACAAGGAGACCCACAGCTAACTGCCTGTGGTGTGAAGCCACAGGATAGAGAAGTTCTGCAGTCCTGAAATGCTGGAGAATTTCAGTAATTCCCACTGCATAGGCATCAAGTCATGCAAAGTAGAAAAAAATTAAAGATAAAAGAAATGCTGCCATTACTTATTCTTGACAAAACCATGTTCTTCATTAGCCATCAATCTCTACAGAGCAGATAGGATGAAATGTTGGAAAATACCTCTAAGATCATCAAGTCCAGCCATTCCCCCAGCACTGCCAAGACTAAACCATATCACCAAGTGCCACACCTACATGGCTCTTAAATCCCTCCAGGCCCTGTGCAAGGGCTTGACAATACTTTTTGTCATGAAATTTTTCCTAATATCCTGTCTTCCCTGGCACCACCTGAGGCCATTTCCTCTTGTTCTATCACTTGCTACCCGAGAGAAGCATTCACAGCACGTTTCAGTTAATTGTTGAATTCTAGCATTAATCATCACACCAGTTAGGTGGGAGGATATTTTACTGTGCATTATTACTGTGAAATATTACTACCTTTGATAATTTTTTTTTGGAGAGTTGAACAATATTTTCCTCATCTTGAGCTCTCTTTGGTCTTCTTTTCTTAGCATTATTTTGTGCCTACTCTGGAGCAGCTCTTGCTAATGCCCTTTCTGTGGTAAGTTTGCACTATTGGGTTTTAACTGGGTTCTTTTAATTTTTGTAAGCGTATTTTGATTTGTTCTAATATAATGTTAAGGACATGCCTCAAAATTTTCCATGTCATCTTTGAAAGCATTGAAATGAGAATGCTGCAGCCAGTGGCAGGTCTTGTACAACCTCTGTGTTGGCTGAATTGTGCCCTTGAAGACTCTACAGCTGATAGTAAGATTTCAAAGACCTTTGAAGCATGATGTCCACAGTGGGTTTGTGTATGTGCGTGTGAGTTCCAGCAACAGCATGTAGTTTAAGAATAAATACTTAGTTGAACCATATCTTTTAGCAATTCCCAATGGTCCACATTTTCACTTCCTTCTTCCAAGGTCTTTCTTCAACCCTACCCACTGGTATTATTAAAGTTTGAATGGATATGAGAACTAAAATGAGCAAGAGACTGTTCTCTTATGTACAAAGTTATCATATCTGCACAAATCAAGGAAGAAGTGAAGCCAGAAATGCCAGGATTTGTTTCTTCTTTAAGACCTGAGAAATTAAAGCAAAAACACATTTTAATAAAATAGATTTATTGACTAAAAATAAAAATGTAGAACTAGCAGCTTCATGCATTAAATGTATTCATCTGGCACCCACTCAGTACCATATAGGTCCCTGCAGATGAGCTGCTTTAATCACATCTGCTTTTGAGATGCATCAGGGACAAGGTCATCTACTTTTTCTACTTGTGATCTTGCTATTGGCAGACCTCATGTCAGGTCAAGAGGTGGGGAAACAGAGAAGGACTGAGGGTTGGATGCAATGCCAGTGATATATAGGCACTGAGGAAAGTGAGTATGTGTGAATAATACTCTCAATATGTGACATTTTACAGGGCAGCAATTTAAAATGACTACCTGTGAGCTGGGTGTCATGGTTTTCATTGCAGTCATCAGAGCTCTGGACCCTGATTCAGTTGCTTCAACATTTGTGCCAGGTGCCCTTCAGCAACAAGAGCTGCACCTCCAAAAGGATTGAGGGCTCAGATGTTGGAATCTTTATGTAGGCCCATACACTTCAGATAAACTAGATACCTCTGTGTGAGCAGCTGAATTGACATTTCATAGCAGAGGAGCCTCCCAGACTTTCAATGACCAGCAGAAATGTAGCTTACATGTAGCCTATGCCATATAACCATCTGCATCTGGGCACCCTCCTCTGGATCCAAATGGATCCAATCCTGTACATGGAGGATCAGGAAGACATGTCCTGTGTCATCCTCTCCTCAGAGAAAGCACAAGCTCTTCCAGCGTCTCAAGTGCAGGA